TTCCCTGAATTTTTTAGAAAACGTGACCTTTCCCATGCTCAAAAATGATACAGCCACTGACCAAATCAGTTCATTCAGCAGCAGAATGATAACGAAGAGAGGATTTTATGTGATTAATAATCACTTGAGCCCTCGTTCCTTCGAATCACCTCAGACGCACGATTTTCTGAGCTTAAGTAAAAGTTATCAATGACTTCCTGGTTAACTTTGTGCCCCAACGTCGACGATTGCTTCCTTCAGCTCCCCAATGCCTCCAGACTGCTTGTTCCCTTCATATATCTTTCTTACCATGAATCCACACACGTTTACCATTGTATAATATTTGAGTCAGGGCTCTTGGCCGGTCAGGGTGAAGGTCGATTTGGTGCCAGCTAAACAAGGCCTGAGTGCTCAGGTTGACGTGAATTGTGGCATTATTTTGTATGAATACGCAGTTCTACTGCCAATCGACGACAGAATGGAAGGATAGCACGACCCACTACGACTCGATAACCAGACGAGTTGATCTTCTTCGGAACAAAACATAGATGAAGACTTTTCCAGAAGTTCCAAAAGAAATTGACGCTCATGCCATGGCTCCTCTACCCTTGAGTTTTTGATTGGATAACTGAAGCTTATCTCTTCTCAGACCATGTCAGTAGAACCGGTTGCCAAGTGAGCCATCACAGTTAAGTTTTTTCATCTTGGGTTTCAGAAGAGAGTTGATCTCTGTACATGACTAATTGTATTCGATTCTTCTCCCAAAATCTTGTAGCTTTCCAAATGTAACGAAGTCCTTTACTTCTCCAAGTCCCATACTCTGTAGAATTCCTGACAACTGCGTGGCACCGGACTAAATCTCGAGCGATTCTACGATCTGACAGCTCCTTTTCCTCTTCTAGGAGAATGACCTTTCTCGGAATCGGATAGCAACTTTCCTTTATCCATTACCTAACATTGAAAAAGTTACACAAATAAGGCAATTGTGTAAGATGAAAATGGAAAATCACAGGAAAATATTAGGTGGAGCCTGGTCTGGCCATTTTGGAGGAGCTGGATCTTCTATAGGTAGTGTGACGACAGAGCAGTCACTGTGTTACTCTCCTATGTGCAACGTCTTGCTCGGTGCATAGGATTGTGAGCTGGTTCAGCAGATTTCCGCTTCGAGATGAGTTCTGTATCGACTGACTGACAAATAAGACCATACATAGCTAGCATGGACAGGATTCGATCAAGATTTGAATCCTGTACCATGACTGTATAAATTGCCATTGGCTTGCCTCCCATCTCTCTAGTTGACAGGGTATAAGTTGCGGAAGGCAGTAAGAGTTGAGAGAGGCAGTGTGTGCTTGATGAAGACTGCTCCATTCGAGGCCAAGCGTGCTTTATAATTCGACAACTATAGAATTAGTATCACAAAATTTACGGAAAACAGCAGCTAAAAGGTAAACGAGTCGAAGTTTCACCGGGATAAGCCCCTTTTACGTGGCTAGTGCAAAATTATGACTCGACCCAAAAGTTATTTTTCAGTTATCGTTCAAACCAGTTGGGCTATGCATGCTTAAGCATGCATTGCATGCCCATGACCGCTCATCCGTAGGCTTCAAGCTTCTGCAGGCACTTTATCAGGTGATATCGAATTCCCGTGCAAACAGCAGACAGACGCGAGCGCTTTATACATATATAGTAAGGATACTTGGTCGATACCTTCTCATATACTGGTTCGTATTCGGAATCTACCCAATTGAACTTCCGTTTTAATCGTTTGGTACTCCAGAATCCAGGGGGTTTACCGCATTCCGTGAGCACCTCGCATAAACCTGCTTCCGGCTGGAAACACTTCTTTAGGACACAAGTTTATAATTTTCAGAAGGCCTAATCGTAACCTTGATTAAAAGATCTCTGCCTTCCGCAATAATCGCAGCTGTTTCCATAGTTCTGTCAAACGGAGACGCAAATATGTGAGCGATGTTGACGTCGACGAGCCTGAAGATACGTGAAAAATTGCTTACACTCTTGATGTCGGTTGAATTGGAAACAAACCTCTCTGCGCATTCTCTTGCCTGTTTACGTCCTCTCCCACTCAGCATTGGATTGTCCCAACGCAGTCCTTTAGCTTCGGCAAGGTCCTGCCAGTCAGGGTTTACGTTGTCCTCCCTTCAAAACTGTATTCCAGTCACCGTTAACTGAGCCGGTATTCAGAAGATTGTTATAGCCACAGCCTCATGTTCTTACTTTCCTGTAACTGCATCAGCATCTCACCATACTTCTGCACAGATGTTTTGCTTTCGGCCAATATTAGCGAAATGGCACAAGATATTGGCATAGGGGTGCATAACTGCCGCTGAGAGCTTCTTCTAGTCATACGCACCGACACAAAAACACCGATACGCGTAGCTCGCTCTACCTCTAACCAGCTAATTTCGCATTTTCAAGCGCTCCCATCCTAGTAGAATTACGAATTTTTGATTTTCTCCCGCTCTCCCTGTGCAAACCTCGTACACTTTAGGAATTTGACCACATTTCTTCTATTAGCGGGCGGACGTGATGTAGGGGCAAGTAGCGCACTATCGCACACTCATGATAACAGGTTCGAATCCCGGATCGATACCCGTCTAGTGCAGTCAAACCTTATATCCCTTCATCCGGTTTATTGGTGCCCTATCAATTTCGGAGCATAAAAGCACTGACTTGTACATCGGCTAGCTAACTCAAGACATTGTATAGGTCACTCAATAAATCACTACTACTCTGAATGCAAATACAATGCGAAAGCACATCCCTATTCATGAACGCCCAGAAACACTGTTTTTCACCCTTCTTCTATTCNCAAATACAATGCGAAAGCACATCCCTATTCATAAACGCCCAGAAACACTGTTTTTCACCCTTCTTCTATTCATTCCAACCTTTTCGCGTTCTAGAATATTTCTAAACTTAGTTGTGAATTGTTGACCACAGCTTTGAGCACTTCACGGATTCAACCACATTTCTCTCCACCTGCAAACACTTTTTCCAAATTATTCTAATCATTCATGAGCAGGGTTACACATACTTTCAGGATAGTTTCTATTTGAAGGTACGTCCGCCCATCGTGGGCAGAGCTTCGTTCAGTGTACACATGCTCAGCACGCACAAGATGCTCACTTCTTTGCTCTTGCTCTTGCTCACTTCTTTTCCTTTTTTCTCTGACCTCTGCGCTCCCTTTTTTGTTATGTTAACCTGTTGTAAGCCTATGTGGGAAGTGCCGCCCAGCACAGAGTGCTCCGCCCACAGTCGGTAAGTCTTCTTCTTTTCACTTGTTGACTCATCCTGCAACTTTGGCTCATTTTTCCCAGCATGTGGGCTACTGCGAAAAAGTGAATGAGAAGTTTTACCCGCGTCCCCCCCCCCCTTTGTGGGCGGAGATTCGTGAGCACATATGTGCTCTGCTGATCTGAACCATTCCAAACTTGACCCGACTTCTGCACGTGCTTCTTCAGCTAATATTGAATTCCTATACAAACACGCGAACAAACTAACTAAC